TGTTAAGTACATGTTTCTTAGACTTAAACTTTTTTACTATTTATTCAATTACCATATGTCTTGTATTATTTATGTCTTGTTATTCCTAGGTATAAGTAGTTTTTTTTTCTGTCTTAGATTTTGCATGTATCCCTATTGTATTGTTCATCAGTTTCGCATTGTTACTTAGTTTTAGTATTTAGTCATGATGAGTATCTCACTATTATTGTAATTCTTATTGTAAATTGGTGAAATCCGTTGGCAATAAATAAATAAATAAATAAATAAATAAATAAACCAAAATGTAAGGAAAGTCCTCACTCACCACTAGCGGGTCTGTACCCAACTTAACACCAACACTCAGCACAATCACGCCACCAACGTCCGACACCTCTGTCACTCGTACACTCCTCGTCTCCACAGCACGAACAACTACCTTCTCACTGTCGGCGATCCAAGACTCGAATGCCTCTCCTAGGTTGTCCTGAAGTTCCAGGATACCCAGGCTTATCCGAACTAATAAGCCGGGTCAAAGGGCGCTAGCTAGCTTTGCCATCGCCGTTTGTTGATGACAACAATAGGTGCTCAGCCAAATAACAAAAACTTACACCACTAGGAAAAAAGGCTTGTTACACACCTTGAAGCCAAGTTTCATCAATATTAGTCATTACTCGTGTTATCGTGTTCACGAACATATATATTTATACATATATATATGTATACATATATAACATTTTGAACGGATAGTGTTTTTGGCGTCTGGGGACATCAAAATGAAAAAATAAAAGTCCCGGGCCTATGTCTTACTATAAGTCCAACGGGATTATGGTCACTTCCCTATAGTGAAATAAGCTAAAAATCAATACTATAAACATGTTTTTAAAAGTATTTGGGACAACAATTATTTTTAATATAGTGACCTATAAAAATTAATGATATGGTATATTTGATGATAACCTGGTATATACTTATAGTGAAAGAAAAATATTAATTTACAGTATCAAAAATTTTCTTTTTATAATTCCAAAAATCTTTAGAATTACATTAAATAGTTTTTTGTTTTACTATTGCATATGAATACATACTAGAAAGCCCATTGCTCGAAATCGAGCAAAACTGCAACTTTAATAAAAGAATAAAGAACAAAAACATAATGAGGAAGACCTCAATTAAAGAGTCACTCTAAAGTAATTTCTATGACAGATTATAGAAGTATGAAAAATATTATGTTGTAAGAAATTATAAAAGTAATCTACAATATTTACATATAGATCCGCTCTCATGCTACTATGGTTATCTCTTAAGTAGGTACTGTAGGCGGGTGCCCTCTATGAGCACGTAGATGTCAACCTCACACTGTAAAGTGAGCTTTCCTGACCTAATGTAGTACAGTAGAACCTCTTTAATCCAAACTAATTGGGACCGGGGGTAGTTCGGACTCTTGAATAGTCGTATTACAGAACATATTGTTGTTTTTACATAACAATAGGTAGGGAAAAGTGAAAAATGCTTTATAAAGTAAAATACAGTGTTTATTTAATACAGTAGTAAACATAGGGAATAAACAGTACCGTACATTACAATTGAAACAACTACGGTGTGTATATCAATAAATACAGTAATAAAGATACACTGTACTGTGTATAGAGTACAGCAATGAGGCGTTCGGATTAGTGTACGTTCGGATTACAGGGGTTCGGATTAAAGAGGTTCTACTGTAAGTTAAATCCCTCTTGGCGCCAACCAAAACGACATGTACTGTAGTCTCCGGGTGGGAACATAAGAGGGTAAGCAAACTACGGATCTAGAACGGATACGCGTTTAACATTATTAGTACGGTAAAAAAAAAAAACTATAAGATTATTTGGTCAGGTTGTGCTCGGTTTTCAGCTTTAAAAATAGCAGCGACATCTAAACAGGTAGCATCATTGTAGCGAGGGAAGTAACTTATTTTGTCTCTTATTATGTACATAAGAATCTCACTTGACTCCTCGGAGCTCTCGTCCCTACAAATATCTGCCACAGTATTATAAGAGTGTGCAAATGGTTAGGCATTGTGACCCTATTTCCCACATATGTTTTCATTGCATTTTTGTTTGAATTGTGTTTCATGCGTTGTTGGGTTCCAGTGCCAACGTCGTAATTATACATCTGTTCGTATTCTTGAGGAATTAGATTACCTACTCGGTGGTAAAACGTGTCATGGATCTCCAAATTGTAGATTCCCTGTGTGATCCTCTCATCTAAATGAGCTTCAGATCTGACCATGGCAAAGGCGAAATTGAATTGACGAATCTTATTCAAATAATTTCTGTATCTAAGCCTCACAGCCCTGTTTTCAGATTCGGAGTTTCCAAAAAGTTTCTGAAAGTATGGTGAATCCTGCAAATGAGGTTTCGAACCGTGTTTAGCGATCGCCGTAAAATCTTCACGTCCCCCGCGATCGCGGTGATTATCGTATTCCATGATCGCGGCTAAATTATTGCATAACAACCAATAAACCAAAACGTTTTTCACCAATTCAGGTTTTTTACAAGTACCAGTAAACCGAACCCAACTTCAAAAATGGGTTTTATTTTGAACCCTCATAAAGTTTACACATTTTCGTTGATATACCTATAACCTATGGCAAAACTTCGTTCACACATTATCTAAAAATTTTAGAGCGCCCCCCCCCCCTAAAAAAGTCCTGGATCCGCCCCTGTTTAAACAGGGTATCTGGGTATCCAGGCAACCTGGGCACCGAGAATTGCACTTGAATTCGGTATGGACCAAGGACTACGATCACCAATAGCCAATAAGTCTCAATTCATTAGAAGAGTTCCATTCGTTCTCTTTTAACATCATAAGTAAATCTCGATCACTGGAGATCATCACAGAAATTTTACAAATACCGCAAGAGATGTTCACAGTCCAATCGCGATCGTGGGAGACGATATCGGTATCGCTGAGACCGCAAAATATGCTCGCGAGTGTTGCCGCTATCGTGAATGACGATCTGGTCATCACCGCAATATTTACTTACGGGTGTTGCCGCGATCACGAATGACGATCATATTATTACTGGGACAGCAACATTTACTTACGGGTATTGCCACAACTGTGACTGACGACCATAGTATTGCCGATTTGCTGCAATCGCGAATGGCGATCACATTATTACTGGAACAGCAACATTTACTTACGAGTGTTGCCCACAACCGTGAGTGAAGACCATGATATCGCGAAGTTGACGCGATGACGAATTACAATCACGATATCACCGAGACCAAAACATTTACTTGCCGGCGTTGCCGAAACTTTGACGATCATCGATTCATACCAATTATATAAAAATAATTATTTCCCAGTAGGCCTTCGTGGGTCGGATAAAATCTGTTCGTGGGCCGGATGTGGCCCGCGAGCCGTAGGTTGGTGATCCAACTCTAACATTCCAACAGAGAAATACATTTTTAAATAGTTAATTCTTTCTCTAAATGAAATTAGTAGGGATAGCCAACAGCAGTTTGCATTGTACATGGTACACACCTAGATGTCTGCACAGACTCCATCCAAATTGACTGTAAAGTAGTTTTACGTTTAATCTGTCTATAAACATTTGAACATAACAAGTAATTTTTCAGGTTTTTTCTACTTTTTTGTTTCAAATCAGGATGAATACCATAAATTGAAAAAATTTAGCCCAACAATCAGAAGTTCGCTGGTTTGAGCCTGAAAAAAAAGTTAGTAGCTTTTTTGGTTTAAAACCTAACCTAGCTATCCTTGATCATTTCACTCCGTTCTACTCTCACCATGTATTCATTTTCAGCTTCAAATATACACCCAGGTGTGTGTCAGAGTCGTGAAGTAATGACACTGAGACACACTAATCAAGAAACCATGACCTACAAATCTTCCCAGCTTGCCATATTCAACTCAATTTATTACTTGTTTATATACTTTTAGTATTGGTAAAGGTATATCTAAAAGAATTTTTAACTCAACTTAACCAAATAAATATCCAAACTTACCTGATAATTGTCATGTAATGTATTTCTATTGTTCAGTTCTTGAATCTCAAGGACTTGGTTAAAATATTTAAACGCTAATTTTGAAATTGTCTTAAGTTTTCTTTTCTATTTATCTGCTGTATAAATCCATAATTGAATGGCAGATATAGGATCTTAGATAGAGCTATCATTTAAACGTTTATTAAAACATCATGGTTAGGTATATAAGAGGAAACCTCAATAGTCAAGTACTCGATACTCTGGACCTACTATTCATTTTGTTGCCTACTAGAACTCTTTCCAAAACCAAGTAATCTAGGGTTGTGGGGTTTAAACATGTACAAGAAAAGTGGATCTGAATCTAGTTTATTAACAATTGACTTAGGCGAGATAGTAGACCCAGCCAACCCAATTTGTTTTTGTTAAGATTGTACTACACTACAGAGAGTAATAAATAGCCACTATCTCCTCTTACCCAGCCATGTGTCAACTCTCATGCATAATATTTTTCCTTCAGTAGAAATCATCATTTTGGTTTAAGAAAATTAACCCAAATGTCTATTAGAATTCATTTCCTACAACTGGAACGTCAGTTATTAATAAATAATATAATGTTACCTTCTACCGTTCCAAATTGGTGTAGCCTACGGCGCGTTTCACCAACACAGTGACATTATCAGGTTATCCGCTATCGCTTTGTCTTGAATATTAAAATAAAACAGTCATTACACAATTCACAAACACATATTTAATATTCAAGACAAAGTGATAGCGGATTTATTTACCAAATGATTACTTTCAAAAGATATTTTTACAGAATTGTTTATTTCACACATAGGTTTCACAAAATACAGTACAATTAGTGTTTGATACTTAATTTTATCTGTAAAAATGTCAACAAATTTTAATATTTTCACTAATTTAGTTAATTAATTAGTGCTTTCAAGGTTAAATGTTGTAAAATATTTTGTAAAGTCTTTAATTGTTTAGGTCCAGGAAAGGAGCTCAAAGAAGGAAACACGATAAGGCTAGTCCACCAGCACCGAACTGGTAGGTGAAAATCAGGACTAATCAAGCATTCTTTATTCATTATTATTAGATTTGTTTTTCCACAGTTAATGACAAAAAGGTTATGTGAAACTTATACACAAGTAGGTTTATATTTTATATTTTATGACACTGATGTAGGGCCTATTGTCATTGAATTGTCTTTCTTTAATATACATATTATTTAACTGCTTGTACAAGAGTTAATCTAAGAGTAAATAACTTTGTGAAATAGTAGGGCCTATTATTTAAGTTATTCTGACAAGTTTCACTAATTGCAGTAAGACACTTAATTCTATCAATATATTATTTTATTTTATTACTTCTTTTAATGATTTGAATCGTGAAGTATAGTGATTATTAGGGGACATTCTTAAATTTCATGTGAAAACAATTTGTATCGAATGTATACTTCAAACTAATACTAAGAAACTAATAATTAGAGAGTTTGTGGTGGTGATTTTATTGTCAACTGCGTCGTCACTTAACAACAGAGTTTTGTCACAGTCGCCAAAAAATACCACCAAGAACTCTCCTGACACTGGCCGCTAGAGCCTATATAAGAAGATAATTCTTTTAGATGTTTACTTTACAAATCACAAATTCAAAATCACATTTGTTAATCTTGAACAATAATACTATAGTAAAAGGTGGTTTTGTAGACCAAACAACCGCTTTGATATAACTCAAGGCTTTAGATAATCTTTGTGATTATGCTGCTCCTTGGTTTACAATGCTGATTTGCTGACAAAGATGTTTGCAATAAATAATGAACACACTAAGTAACGCAACAAAATAAAGGCTTTAACAATCTACATAACTAAGTAATATAACAAAATCTTACTAAATAAAATGTAAGAAGATCAAACCCTAAATTCCAGTCAAGTCTACTAGTGTCATATGGGAAGTGCACTATATGGAATTTTAGGTAGTTTACACTTGATTCAAGTTTGAATCTAATGTGATATTTCAAATCTGTCATTTAAAGCAAGTGGAAGCATAATTCAAAGCTTTAATTAAGCTACCGTGCTGTCTGAAACACAAGTTGTTGCACGCAAACACATTTTCCAGGTCAATTCTGGGCAATGTTTTTGTCTGCGTATGTGTGTTTTATCATGTCTGACGAGTCTTGGATATCACTAGACAAAAATGAAGCCCATAAATTATAACCATGATTGGCATTTTTCATAATTGAAGTTAACCCAATTTATACACTCTCTGATTCTTCTGTTATGTTTTAAGGAGGATCAACTAGTCCGGGTATTAGAAAAGAACACAGAACTGACTATCCAAAACAAGGACCTTCAAAAGCAAGTGCAACGGCTTCAAAATGTAAGTTACTATTGTAAAAACAAATATATGTATTGATTTAAAAGAGCTCTAAGGGGCGGTTCACGAGCTCGGGACTTCATAGTCCGTGACCAGACGTTGGTCCCGGACTATATAAGCGACGACCAAAAAATGGGTTCACGAGTCAGAGCCTAATGATGTGAAAGTCAGCTTATTGTTGGTCGGGACCAAATCCGAAGCGGAGCCTAATGACAGGGATTCGCAGGGCCGGATTTCCCAATAGGCCTGGTAGGCCCGGGCCTATGGGCGCAAGGTCCCAGAGGGCGCACGGCCGAGAATATATATATTTTTTTTAATACCTAGGCTATCTAAAAACAAAAAAATAGTCATAGTTGATAAAAAAAAAACTCCAATGCATTGTGATTCTGAAGTTCATAAGAAGAAATAATTGTTAGGAAATTTAAACTATTTTTCAGAATTACGCATCAATTTCGTTACAAAATTGGTAACGAACATTGGTTATACGGGAGTAGGCTGTATTAGGGATGTTGACGTTGACGAGCGCCCAAGGGGTACGCATCGTATTGCCACTGCACTGCCAAGTGCCACTATGCTGGCTTGGGCTCGGCACTACTGATCAGAGTGATTAGGGGCGCATGCGTGCTAGGCATTATGACCACCCTCACCTCACAAAACAACAGTTATTAACTAACTTAATCCTTTGATTAGTTTACAACAATCTGCAGAATCAAGTAAAAAAAAATATATAATAAGTTGTGTTTAATATTAAAAGAACGATGAATTCACCTTTAAAATTAACGACAATATATTAATCTCAGTTTGCATTAGATTTTAGAACAATTCAATACCCTCCAAAGTACCATTAATGCTGCAATTTTCTCCTCAGACCTCAGAAGGATCGGTACGGTTGGCCGGAATATTGATCTGTTTTGCTTTGGAAATATAACCTAGATGCAGTACGACCATAGATTAAATATAACTCAAGTCGACTTCTTATGACATTGATAATTCAAAATTTTGTTATGTCTAGTTCGGTTCATGTTGGTGACACTGGACGTTAGTTTTGACGTAATTTTGTTTCTATTATTTTAGGGTTAGTTCTAAGATGTGTGTTTCAATTTCTTGTAATATGAACAGGAGACGACCTATTGTTGATGATTAGATCGTTTTATTTTGGATAAACTAGGTTTGAACATAGATAAAACATACTCCTTAAATAACAAGCATTGTTTTAAGCTAATCCAAAATGATGACAAATCTACTAAAGGAGTATGTTTAATCTATGGTATCACGTACTGTATGGAGTTCATGTTTTTGGTCCTGGAATTGGAATCAATGGCCATGTTTTTTTTGCAGGAATGCTCGGTGGGTTGAGTTGTTTTATTTCAGTCCCACGGCCACAAACGTGAGCATTTATTAAAAGCATAAAATTGCTAAAAGTGTTTAAGACGGCATTTTGTTAAGTCTAAACAAGTCAATTCGTAAACAAAATTTCTATGATTCCAACGAGGGGTGGTATTCAAGCAATTAACTTAGGCCTATGGGCATGATATAGTTTTTAATAAAGGTCTCAAGGAAAGTAACTGTGACCAGACTAGGGGGCGGACAATTATTTGGGCCTAGGGGCGCAACAATGCTAAATCCGGCCCTAGGGATTCGCAGGGAATTTTTGTTGAGACGTTGGTAACAACAGCCTGGAAACACATGTGAAGCCACTGCTGCTGACATACGCACTTCCATACAATAGGATGATCGTGAAAAAAGGCTGAACCATAACGTCCAAAACAATTATTTTTCGCGTATTTCATTGTCTCAATGCTCGCCTATAAACACAACAAACCATGTTTGTATGAAATCAGATAATGGAAGTCTTTAGTGAAATATATTTTTCTGTGTGCATTAATGTAACTAATTAAGATGCATGACATAAAATAATCGGGTATTTATAACCATATGCCTATTTTGCATAAATGCCCGATAATTTAAGATGGTGATTTTTGGATAGGCTAATTTTAACTAAACTTATTTAAATGGTACAATTATTGAAACTAAAATTAATTTAGAGGTACTGACTATTTAAATATAAAAATGGTATGTGTTTGCTGGTATTAATCGTGGTTGTAATCTAAGAATATTCTTTCCGTTATTCTTACACTCTTTAATATTCTAGTTGTAAAATGTTGAAATAATATTCTGTGGTTCGCTCATAATATTATTTATGTAAACAGCTATGGTTTTTTATTTACATTTTGTGTTGTGTGATTTAAAAAATTAGATTCATTGGTATTACATTAAAATGCGTTTATATTTAGGAAAACATTTTTTTTTTGGCATAGTTTCGAACTGCAAATTTGATTTGTTCTGCTTTCATTACCAAACAAATAGCTACCATCCAAGCTTTACTACTACTTACTACTTATTTCCTTGCGCTCCTAGGGGGAGCATAGGGCCTCGACGAACACTCTCCAGCGGTCCCTTTGGTTGGCCAGCTCTTTTGCCCTAGCCCATGTCATGCCCTGACTATTTAACTCCTTCTCCACAGTCCGCCTCCATGTGGTTCTTGGTCTCCCTCTTCTTCTATTTCCCTGTGGGTTCCATTCCAGGGCTTGTCTCGCTACTGTATCTTGTGGTTGCCGAAGAATATGCCCAATCCATCTTCATTTTCTCCTATTTATTTGAATAGCAATATGCTCCTGGTTGGTTCTGGCCCACAAATCTTCATTAGAGATGACTTCCGGCCACCACACCCTGAGAATGGTTCGTAAACATTTATTAACCCAAGTCTGCAGTTTGCGTGTGCTCGTGTTTGTCACCTTCCATGTCTCACAGCCAAAAAGGAGGACAGACTTAACGTTTGAGTTAAAGATCCTGAGTTTAGTTTTTATTCTTATTTCAGAGCTCCTCCAAACTAGCCTCAGCTGGGCAAATGCAGCTCTTGCTTTATTCAAGCGGTTTTCCATGTCCCGATCGGCACCTCCTCCTTCAGTCACCATACTGCCCAAATAACAAAATTCATTGGCCCGCTCAATATCATCCTCTCCTGTTCTGAGGGGAGTGTTGTTCCGGTTATTTAACCTCATTTCCTTGGTTTTTCTGGCATTTATTTTCAGGCCCACCTGCTGTGCTTCTACTCTTAGGTCATTTAGTTTAGCTTCTATATCTCTGAAGCTTTGGGCCATAATGCAAAGATCATCAGCAAAATCCAGGTCTTCAAGCCTTGAATTGATCCCCCACTGGATTCCCCTATTACGGTTCATTGCTTCCTTCATTACTAGGTCTAAAGTCATGAGAAAGAGAATAGGTGATAAAAACATCCTTGTTTGACTCCTGAGTTACAGGTTATTGGCTCCGACAAAGACTTGCAGTGCTCTACTTTGCAGGAGTAATTCTCATACATGGCTTTTACAAGCCTTATCACCTTTGGAGGCACACCAAAAACCTTCATTGCTTTCCACATCTTCTGTCTGTTGATCGAGTCAAAAGCTTTTTCAAAGTCAATGAAGACCAGATACAAAGCAGCTTGGTGTTCTGAAAATTGCTCCAAGATTATTCTCAATGTATTTACATGGTCTACGGTAGATTTGTTCTGCCGGAATCCCGCTTGTTCCTTTCTAATTTGATCGTTTATAGGCTGTTTAATTCTATTTAAAATAATTCGAGCAAGGATTTTGCTACAAACAGGAAGAAGCGTTATACCCCTCCAATTGTTGCAGTTGGAGAGATCACCCTTCTTGGGAAGCTTTATTAAGACACCTTTATTCCATTCATCCGGGATTCTTTCTGAATTCCATATACTGACCAAAAGAGGATGTAAGATGCGGGCTGATAGAACTGGTTCTACTTTCAAGGCTTCAGCTGGGATGTTATCAATGCCGGGCGCTTTTCCGTGTTTTAATTCTCGTACTGCCTCCTCTATTTCCTCTAACCCTGGTGGTTCTTCTGATATTCTGTGATCAGGGATTACTCTTTGGTTCCCTATTTCTTCGTAATTCTCATTCACTTCTATACCTCCTGCCACATTCAGGACTTCTTGAAAGTGTTCATGCCATCTCCTAATTTGTTCTTGTTCTGAGGTTAGAATTTTCCCCTCCTTATCCTTCACTGGTTTATCCCGTCTCAAATGTTTCCCTGAAAGTTGTTTAGTGATCTTATACAATTCTCTGGAGTTTCCAACATCGGCTGCTGTTTGAGCTTCTGCTGCCAACTGGTTGATGAAGTCCCTCTTATCGTGTCTCAATCTTCTTTTAACTCTTCGATTGGCTTCATTGTATTCTCTCAGGGCTTCAGCCTTTTTGTCTTCTTGTGCGGCTGTTATTCAACACTGCTTCCATGATTCCATGAGATTCCATGATTCCTCTGTTATCCACTCTTTACGCCTTACATCTTGGAAGCCTAAATACTCTTCCCTATCCTGTATTCCTTATGTCTCTCCATTGACTTTCTGTGTCCTTTGGAATTGAAAACATTGACATCAGAGCTACTACAAGTCTTTATCAGCTGACGTACCCCCTCCCCCAAGGTCAATGTCACCAACTGGACAATGGATAGTTCTGATGTCAAACATCTTGTTAAAAAGAATTTTATTTTCTAATTTGATAAGATAAAATTTAATAAAACCTTTAGCCTTTCATTAAAAAATGATAAATCTTTACAAAACAGTCTAATGAACACCTATAAGCTTCAGGATTTCTGCAGGAATGCCATCAGGGCCAGGTGCTCTTCCATTTCTCAGAGCCATTCCTCTTCCTTGGGCTGGGAACCTGCCCAAATCTCCGAATTCCCTCGATGGTCATGCTGAATGCTTTGGAATACGCGTCGATGACAGTAGCCACGGCGACAGGTTTCATGATCGTAGGTGGTCATCGAGTCTGGTTTCTGGCATGTTGCGCTGCCTGTCGGAGCCCAAGGTATATTCTCCGGGGTTCTGCAATCTTGGGATTCCACTAGTAAACTGGCTTCTTCCCGCGGTGGGCGGAAATCCTGGGCATGGAAGGGTCACACGCTGAATAGAGTGAGACGTATCGCCAACGTGGCACGAAATTCGGCACTTCCAATGTCCCCAACAGTTTGATTTTTGATGCAACACTGAAAAGTGGCCCGGCGAAGACGACCAAGGTTCTAATATCGAGACGGATGAGCTGAGTTGGCATATGCATACCTGCGCTCAGGAAGTTCCCTGAAGACGATTGCCTGATGGTTGCTTGCAGAGTAGTCCTCGGAGACTCGCCAGTCCGTGACTGGTGGGCTAGGGCTTCAGATGCCAGAGAGGTGTCAGAGATCATCTACCCGTGTTAAGGATATGGATACCTAGCCTTGCCATCTCTAAGACACTCTCCCCCCCCCATGTTTCTATGGGGTAAACCCCAATCCACTGCCCTATCATTGAAATCCCCACAAACAGTCACCTCACCATCAATGTTCAGTATCTTCTCCTCTAGGTCGTCGACCTTCTGGCATTTGGCTACTCTGCAATGGGATGGTTGGAGGTGAGATAGCAGGAGAAAAAAATACATGTACCCCTCTCCTGTTAATCATTTGTTTGATCATCCACATAACAAAATCAGCAGTATATGCTGCTTCAAAATAGGTTTTCCTCTCCCACCACACCACACAAGATTAAATTCTTGTGTAATGTGGTTTTTGACATTCTTATGGGTCACGTGGGGAATGTTCTTACACACTGTTAGCCGTGACATACTCAAAAAATTCTAATGATATTGCTGTTTTGTTTTTTTTTTTGTCCTGAATGGTCTTATTCATGAGTGAAATAATTGTTGGAGTTGGGATTTACAAACCTATATTCAATTTAAAAAAGGTTTACATACCTTAATTACTTCATCAATCCTAATTTTTAGTCTGGGCGACTAGTTGCAACACATCGATTTCAGTTGCATCGAGTCCGTCACCGCACGTGTTATGGCTGGCCACGAATTATTTTATATAAATGTATCGTATCCAAGTTTGTGTGTGCTATGTGTTGACTGTGTATTGACGACGACATTATGCTCCAATGATTTTGATTTAATGAAGCAATAGAGGCTTGACGATGAAACCGTGGTTTCGAAACTAGTCGCCCAGACTAAAAATTAGGATTAATGACGTATTTAAGGTATGTAAACCTATTTTATATTGTCAATATTCAATCCTGGAGGCAATGATGAATAAAGCTATATTACTCAGCACATTCTAGCAATTAATTTTTTTAGTAATAAATCAAAATACATTCTTTAATTATACATCCAAACTTTGGAAATATCTTCCTGTTCTTTTTGTCGATTTTCTCTAACCTGCCTTATGACCTTGGACCAAGGTTTACATGGCATAAACCAAACTCCCTGATTCCTGGTCCTGCTCCAAAGCGGCAAGCCCAAAGTGCAGTAGAGAAAGTGCTTTGGTGAAAAAGTGTTATGGATATGATGCAGCTTAGTGCCTGAACATCTGCTTCAACATCTGATCAACTGATATGAATATAGTTGTTTACTGTTAAAAAAACATTTGTGTGTATGGAATGGTCTTTGTTTATTCGTGACTTCGGAGCGTACTCCTTCTAGTATTATCATTATTCATGGTTTGTTGAATACCTTCTGATAAAAAAATTTCCCCGGTATGTGATTTGTTAAAATTGTTAGAGTTACTTGGCAAGTATTTGGATTTGTTTTGGAGTTCAGAATCTCATAGGGGTGTTTCTGTGAACGTGGTAGTAGTATTTAGTCTAAACATATCTTCAGCTTGTTTAAGGGCTTCATTTAATTTTCTGTTTCTAGCATTTTCTGTTTTTGGTATCCCATATAGCTTTGTGCTCACTGTAAGAACTTAGAGCACTTCTATTAATTAGTGCTGTTTTGAAGTCTCCAAAAAATGTTATGCTGTATTTTAGTGTCTTATTTTTTCCTTCCAGGCTTATTGATTCAATTACTGCTGGCCAGTTTGGAAAGCTTTTGATTTTTGCAAAAACCAAGTATCCTGCAGAGAGTTTAGACTTAGTATTGACAGCAACCCGGCTTAAACAACCTCGATGAGGGAGTAAAAGGTGACAATAATAATAGTATTTAAAAATAAATGGTAATAGGTGATAAAACTGCAAAGCTAAGAACAATTTCTGACTATTATTGCAAAGTAAGGTATTTCCCATATCTAATACCATGTTCTCTGTGTTTGTTTTAGGTGAAGACTGGGGACAACCTCCGGCAAGGAGACAAGCTGGAGGGAATTTTGAAGGTAATTTATCCATATTCAAGGAAAAATAATAATTTTTAAAATATAGAAACTGGCTGGGGCAATGAGAAAATTGACCCTCAAATTATAGGCCTACAACTAGATAAGTGATAAGTCGAATTTGTAAATTTTTCAATCAAACCAGCTCCTGCTCTTTTTCACTGAAAAGCAGTTTGAGCTTGATGCTCTTCAAACAGTTGCAACACTTTACAATAACACAAAATACTAACAGCTTAAAATTTCTTAAAAATAGTGTATACATATATTTATGTCCCAATCAACCAAAAACACAAACTGTTTAGAAATAAGAGGTAAAATTACCTTTATTTCGACAACATTTATTCCTGATATCTTCTCTAAGGGTAGATGACGACCGTTATGGAGACTATGTCACCTTCTTCAAATCCTTGATCAATATTCCCTCATATTGAGCACTAAACACAAACATACAAACATTTAGACAAGACATAAAAAATAAATACTCGACTACAACTGTGGACACAGGTACTCACTGCTCAGTTGACATTTTCAGGGTAAGATATTTATTGTTTAGAAATTAATCTCTCAGCGCCACTAAATACTAGCTTTAATTATTTTAATGACATTCTATCTTAATATTACAGTATATGTTAATAATATTAGTACAAAAAATAAGAAGTGAGTAAAAATTTTAAATCAAATGGTAAAACATTTTCTGTCACAAAGAAATGGTATACTGGGGAGCACTGTATACTAAAATACCCCCGCCGCAGCAAACCTGCAGACTAAGCGAATTTCAGCTTCTCTGATTACATTTTTACTAAAATATTTCCATAAATAAGACATATATATTTCCAATTTAAATAACATTAGATTTAACGAGTGCTTAGGTTTGCTGCTACGGGGAAGGTAAAAAGTGATTTTTGACCATATGTCAATAGTATAGGATGAAATAAATAAATTTGCCAAGTTTTATCAACATTATATCCATAAACAAGTAAATTACAACAGTTTTCATTTTCTCCATAAGAATAACATGGGAATTTTAAATTACACTTTTTTTGAATTTTCTCCGTGACCGTTAAGCATAAAACAGCGCTTCAATATACTAAATTATTTCTTTTTTTAAGCTCTACAAAATGGTTGAGAAAGAAATAACAAATTTTTTTGTGTTTAGGGTAAAAAATGGGAAAAACCCATTTTTACCCCATAAAACCCCCATAAACCCCTGTTCCCATGGTCCGATTATGGTGGTTCGCGAACTCGTTTGAACAAACATAGATTTACACGTTTGTAGTTGTACCAAATTTCATCAAAATCGGATCATTTTTGCTCGAGTTATCGCGCTAACAGACACATATATAAATATATATATATATGAATTTGAACGGATGGTGTTTTTGGCCTCTGGGGACCTCAAAACGAAAAAGTAAATCGGTCCCGGGTCTAGGTCTTACCATGAGACCTACGGTAATAGCTTATTCCCTATATGGGAAATTCGCTAAAAAGACAGGACTTTCTTTATGACATTTACAGTGGTAATGAAAGTAACTTTGTTACAATACAACTAAGAATACTTATAGGGCTAACTTCAAGGAGGCTGAAAAGGGGTAAATTAAGCCTACAAAAGCATTGTGGTAAATTATGAATAAGGGTTCGGGCAGCAATACAAAGTCAAACAAATTTGGATCAGTCTATCAGTCCTGGTACTTTCAATGATTATTTTCTTAGTTTTTTTTTTACCACTGCATGGAAATGATCACATTGCCACACCTGTAAACAGTACGCAAAATACGCTATTAGCTGATTTCATTGTTGGCGTTTCTATAAAACACTAACATTCGGTAAGCAAATAACATAACCTTAAAAACAAACATAGCCTAAATGACATTTGATATACTGTACAACTAAGAAATTAATATGTGTGTTATGATATGTTAATTATAGTGTTAAAGTCTTGTGTGTATTACGAGCACAAAAAATCTATGCGGCTCTTTAAATGTTACTACAGTTCTTGACGGGCAATGACATACTTTGCGCTCTTAATACACAAAATACCTATTTAGTTGTCCTTGTGAATAATAGTGTACCTGATACAGGTTATAAGACTTTTTTTTACCAAACAACATCTACAACAAATACATCTAGAATAGTTTTAGTTTTAAGTTTGTTTCCTCTGAGGATATTGTAACTATAGGCTTGTGTTCTCTAAGCTTAAAGAATTTGGGATTCTTTTTGAGAAGAGGTAAATAAAGCCAATCATACCCAGATACCAGTGGCGTAGCCAAGGGGGGGGTTTTGGGGGTTACAACCCCCCCCTTGGGTGTCCCTATATATATATATTTTACTGTTGAAGTAAATATGTTTTCGTAGTATACTTTTATGCTAACCAGTAAATAAAGAAAGTGCCAAACAATTTACCTAGTCTTAGAAATATATTAAGTGTTTTACAACATTTTTCATGTCACGGCAAAAGGCGTACACTACGACTATATTCACCAAAAGCTGGTTGATGGTACGGGGGCGGGCATTGATTCTATCACATGTAGCCATGTAGTCAGAGCTGGAACAGTACTAGTGGTTCCACTTCCACCAGTTCTACTCGCTCCCCGTTCCCACTGTGGATTCGCTAGCCGTCATTTTGCGCGGGAGAGTAGTCTGGTTGGTTAGGGTGTTAGGGTCACTGTCAGTAGTGTCAGTTCAGTAGTCACGTCACATAGACACTCACACTAGACAGATCACTGATGCCCTTACTGCGTTACTGTGTGCGTTGTAAAACAATTGACCGTGATTTGAGGTTGTGAACTTTTAGATAAATTACGTATCGATTATTGGGTGCTGAAATATTACGTTATCTCATCATTATCCTTGTGATTAATTACATTTACATATCTGAAGTTGAATTAACTAAGATAGTCCTGAAGAATGAGTGATGATAATTGTAAGCGGCCTGGGAAGAAACGGAAGTTAGGCCAAAGTGAGCAAAATGAAAAGCAGGCAAAACTATTAAGAAACTATTTTAGTTACATTTTTAATATTCTTCTGTAAAACGGTAACAAATTTAAATTCATGTTTAAACACCTTAATCAAATAGGTTAAATATAATAAAAACTCAATTAAAAATCAATTTATGTTTTAAAAATTAATATGTCTAGATTGCATAAAAACGCTAGTTTACAGCTATTATTTTTCAAAATTTTTCCCGGACCCCCCTCTACACTGGGGGGTATTCCATACCCCCCAGGCCCCCCGGCATGGTCACGTTAAATAACCCCCCCCCCTTAACGTAATCCTGGCTACGCTACTGCCAGATACGCCTTGCTCTCTTTAAAAATTGTGTTTGATGTTATTCTTTTTGGCAAACCCAAAAGGCAGATGCTTCAATTCAATAATAATAATAAATCTTTATTGTCATTTGGTAATATAAAAATTACAATAGACAAGGTCACATTTGTTACATGTTTTGTTAAACATATGTTATATAAAATATTAAATAGGCTACAGAAAATGTTAAAATAAAGTTAAATTAAGTTCAATTGGGGTAAGCACGTAAAAACGGTTTGCTAGGTTTATTACATGGTCAAATTCAAATTCAAATATATTTATTTAGGATATTACAAGCATGGCCTCGCCAAGTTTACAAAACTTGTCGGCGAGGACCAATAGATTCAAAAAAATTACAAAACAAAGTTTACAGATTTTTCTCTTTTTTCTTTAGTTTTGTTTTCTAAGTACAAAGAATTATGAAAACTAGTTCTAAGGCGGTTTGTGGCAGGCACCTATTAATAGCAAGAGTGTTTTTGCAGCTAAACTTTCTAAAAGCGTTTAAAAGAAGTGTAACGAATAAACAATAACAAATTAAAAGGTAGGAGTGAAAGCTCATATAACCAACGGCATTCACCTAGATTGCAATCTTTTGTTGTCTTTGGATTTGTGAGTTTATGTCGTGTGGTGGTGGTAGTGGAGTGAGTGAGTGTCGAGAGAAAAAAAGAGTTGCTTGACAAGCTTGAGTCGTGTTTGTTTGTTGGTTGAACATAACCTTACACTAAAAATGCACATTTGTTCATAAGCAGAAAAAAATAAAAATTTTATTAGCTTAAAGCTTTCTTTTCCCTATTCTACCCTGAAAATGTATTTTTGTGTATTGTGGCCTTAATCTTGTGGGATTGGTTTATGTTTTGGAGTGTAGTCTGAAATGTCTTTTTCTTGTTCCGGTGTGAAAACAGGTTTTCGTTCTAATGCTGGAGCTAAATCTCCATCATCAACTACTTTTAATGAATACTTACTTACTTACTTACTTACTTGAATACTTGTATTCTTAATCCTTGACTGACAATGTCAGATAGATCGCGTCATGTCTTTAAAAATGTAAATAAAAATGTAAATAAAAATGCGGGGTGACCGTAATGTTGATTCCAGAATTCCAAATTTCTTCCCTGTTTTCTTATTTAGCCCATTTTTTCATTTATCCATTTTTAATGGCTGCTTAATGCCGATTTGAGTAAATCAGAAGTCCAGCTCTGACGCTGTGTTGTTCTAACGGCTAACCTAAAATCTTTGTAAGTAAACTACTACATAAGCTTAACGTTCAACTATTATATAGATATTTACTTAAAAATATGTACAACTCACTTTCATTAAAATCACTTTTAGTGGTAGGACACTGCAAGTGTGCCGTGGTAAGAACACTTCTAATAACTTGAGAAATTGAAAACGAAACAGTGAAAAAAACACAAACTCATGCTGCCCAACAAGTCGAATGGTGTCCCGCTGGCAGCGCATGTGGTACTCCGTGCAGCCGCTAGGTTGCAGCACAAACCAGAGCTCCTAAACTGTCATGGCGGCTATGCTAGTAGCATGAGCTATACTGTCCCAGTTTCCCCTATAAATAATAAATTATAGATAGGTTATATTTTTATAACAAGACAGCCCTTTGAAATGAAATTATTTCTCAATAAGAGAATAATAAATTGATAAAATAATATTAAGAGATTCGACATGCCTATTCTAGAGAAGTATTGCCAAAGAGTTTCGCTCTCTACTACTCTTCACTTCACTCTTTAACTGATCCTGTGCACTTAAACTACACATATTTTAACACAAATTTAAAATTATAATATTAATTTATTAGTAACCATGTACAAAATAACCAAACAACACACACCACTATTGGTTTTTATTATATCTTAAATAAGATAACACATATGCTCTCCATTGCTGCAAAGCCAGAAACTTGTAGTATGTGCTGATACCGTTACGGCTTTATTTTAAGATTATGAATTTGTAGGTACCAATGATGTTACATGTTTAAACACTACCGTACTTCTTAACTATAATTTCTTCTCTAACCATTGATTTTTTTATAGCAAATGCGAGAAGCTTCTGACAAAAGAAAAGAGTTGGAACGTGAGCATACTGAAGCCTTAACTCAGCTAAGGGAAAAACAAAATGAAATCCAACGTAAATTTGGCAACACAAGTGACAAGACCAAGGCCTATGAGAGTATTGAGACCCTTCAGGTAATCCTTCTAGACTAATAACTATAACCTCGTTAGGAAAAGAGGGGAACAGTGCTCTTATTACACCAGTAGCTTGTGTTTTGGACACATTTAGTTAGGTTAGTTTTCATAAAAAGGGGTTTTTATGAATTATTATTTTTGTTATACAGTACCCTCAACAGTCTGACTTATCAGCTCAAGACATTATCACTGAGCAAGTTCAATGTGATTTGTTTAAAGTATTTTACAAATCCTCGAGTATAATTCCATTGATCCATAGCATAATAGTGTCCATTGAAAATATTTACCGGTATCTCAATATTCTTAATGAATTGGGGAGCGAGCTGGTCCAGTGGTTGGAGCACGGGACTTCGGTTCCCAAGGTTCAAATCCCGCCAAATCACCAATTTTTTTTCCTAAGACACTAGGCACGAGCCTGGGATTGTTTTTCACATTACTTCAGGCTAGACCTAGGGGTTGCGGCATTATCACTTGGATAAAATCCATTGGTGACTTGGCGGGGATCGAACCCGGGACCTCAGGGACTGAAGTCCCACGCTGTAACGCCAGCTCGCTCCCCATATCACCAATAGATTTTATCTAAGTGATAATTCCGCAATCCCTAGGTCTAGCGTGAAGTACCGTGAGGAGTCATGTAGTTGTTAAAATCTGACTACTTTAAATTCTATGATTGGTTTGGTATATTATTGAATGCTGTGTCATGGTATAGTTTACTTACAGAAAAACAAGGGAAACAAAAGACTGATTGAATAAAAAAGCAGTATGAAATAACAAAAATTGTAATCATTGTTGCAGACAAGCCATAAATGGCTTTTGTAGCTGAATTGTATGTGTTTTGTAAATTTGTATTTTTTGGAAATAAATAAATATATATATATATATATATATATATATATATATATAAGTAATGTGAAAAACAATCCCGGGCTCGTGACTAGCGTCCTAGGACTAAATAAATTCTTAATGAATCACTAGCATAGTTTTATACATTTAGCTTACTACTAATACCTTGTCTCCACCTGAAATTTACTTATATTAAAGAAAGCCCTATTTACAGAGAGTTTATATTCATCGTGGTCGTCCTATGGTTGTTACTCCTTGTTGCATATAATCTCAAACAAAATTTTAAAGGTATTTGAAACGTGGAAAGGTTAAACTACACAGTTGACACTGTGAAAACAATCATGGAAGACATAGAGTTTGCAGTACCATTCATTACCCTTTCAATAAACTCAAAGAAATAAGGTCCAACTATCTTACCTGAGAAATTTAGAGTCCGGGGGACTTCTTAGAGGGTAGTTGAAGAGAATCAAATCGAAAGCCTCTTAAAATAACGATTTCCTTGTAATTTTACAGTCCAAGATCCGAGAGTTGGAAAAGAAAGCGGAATTGCAGAATGTCCGTCATGAGGAGCTCATGCTGGAGATGGCAGCCATCAAAAGGTCCCAGAGCAAAGCAGAGAGAGCTACAACTGCCGCTGTGTGGAAGAAGAGTGGCCTCCATCAGGAAGTGCAAACCTCACCCGACTCCGTTCCCTCCACCCCAGGTATTCTTAATGCAGAAGATACTCATTCAGGACTTCAGCAGTGCCAGATTACCGGGCGCGGACTAGAGTTGCTGTTATTTCAAGGATAGCGGAAACACTGCTAAAAATGTAATAAGAATTATTAATAGGCACAAGGCTATTCTGCCAGTGTGGACATTAGCCAATTGCCGGAGATAGGGTAGGCTACCCACTTAACCTTGAAAACCTTATAAAAGTAAATGAACGTGGATTTTGTCATCTTTGAAGAAACTCGGGATAAGCTGTGGTTTTCTAGGTAAGAGGTTTCAAAAATAGGAACAGGCCAATCCCTGTCCTCGATTACTTAAAACTTTTGATACTGGCAGTATTAAAGTTTCTCAAAATGTCATGAATTTGAATTTAATACAGACCCTAAAATCTCCTGCAGTCTTGTGAAATTGTGATTATCTTCCAGGTAGGGATGGACGAGATTGGATTTTTAGTTCGAGACGAGACGAGACGAGATTTTTTATTTCTCATAAAATTTTGAGACGAGATCGAGACGGGATTTCCCTTCTCATACACAACGGGAAATGCACGTTCAAAATTTTTACCTGATTTTGTAACATTGTTAGATGACTGTTTAAATACAAAAATAATGATAATAGGCAAGAATATTTACAATCTTTTATTAAAAAACATCAGCATAACATTTTTTTATTAATCACGCCTAACTTATTAAAAATGCCTACGATTAGGAAACATAGTGATATCAGTTAGGATAGAGTTCAACTTATCCTAAAATAAAATAAATCATAAAATAAAAGCAATATTAATTTTTATAAAATAGTTACTTGTTTTGACTTTTTATAGTAATAAAACATTCCTCACACTGCTTACACTTAACAAAACTTCTCAAATGTTATTAAAGTAATATTATTAAAATAATTAAAGTAATATTTACATTTAAAGAATTAATTAAATAAGAACGCCTTCTTAAAGGAAACGCAACTACAACACGCTCCTGTATTGCGGGTATTGCATTGACTTTCTGTAGGCGTTTTTAATTTTTTAATTTTTTTTTTTTTAATTTTTTTTTTTTATTCTCGTCTCGATAAAAATCTCGGCCAAAAAGAAATCTCGTCTCGTGTAACGAGATTTGAAATTTCCCGAAAATTTCCCGAAATTTCGAGACTTGACCATCCCTACTTCCAGGTTTGCGTTAACTTCATGATAGTCTACCGCACAGTTATGGCTACATCCTGAATTTCAATTGCGGTCATATTATATAAATTTATGCAGTGGCTTTAATATCTCAAGAATCCACAGTTATCTAATTCCTACAAAAATAATTAGATAACATTTTGCAAATTTTTGAGTCTTTAATATCCAGTTTTATTTTGAATATTCAGAACTTTTTAGAATGTTTTGTGGCTACTACGAACATTGTAATAAGCATGTTGTTCCATAACCTAGTCTAGTCTAGAAGTCCCCCCTTTTGCGAGATCATATAAACTAAGCGTTCAAGTTCTAAAGTGAAACGAAATAAACCTTTAAGATGTTTGATCTTCCTACCTTCATGAATCATAAATTGTAGGGGTCTGCGGTACAGAAAATATAAGGTCGGTACGGTACAATATTTTTTACCTCGGTTCTCGGTACAAAATCGTTACGGTAGGCGGCTACCCGTATTTTTGTGGTTTTCTGCTCAGAACTGTATTCAAACCATTATTTTTTAACTTTAATACATTGACATAACTATGAAAATGGATAGTATCCTACATTCATGGTTTTCTAACAACAATTACTGTACCACACATTATTAAAACAAAACAACAAAACCTTTTACTAATACGAGGATTGTATCAAGAAAAATCACAGTTAAGATAAAGGCTATACCTATTTTACTCTGAGATACTTTGAATAGCCATGATAAAAGTTGTTTTTAAAAATAGGATAAGAGCTTTTAGGAATAAACATGTTTGAAACATTTATTGGCAAAGATAATTTCAGACAACTGGTAAATTATTTCCAACCAACACAATGTCTAGTTGTTTTTTTTAATTTTTAAAAACATATAAAAGCATTCAGGACGATGACAGTGTAGTTGCCAGCTGTTCACTGGAGGTTATGATGGAAGTAATGGCAAAGAGCATCTTTTTTTATCAGCTTCAAAACTATTTATAAGATGGATACAACTCTTGCAAAGTTTTTTTCTGAAACTAAAATTTGGACTATCACAGAGTAAGATTATTGTCATTTACAAAGTTACCATCCATAATATCAATCATATCAATCATTAGTTTATCTCAGGCTCAATCCAATTTTCTTAGTATATTTTAAAGCTCTTCCAAAGAATCAAAAGACCCAGGCCTAGACCTAATTATTTAGGAGGGCCTATATATAAATTTATTAGGTTACAATGAGGGTAGCAAAATCACTATCTAGTTCATAAGATTTAGATTGCATAAAGTACCTTCAACACAAAAAAAAAGGAAACTAAAAAACATTTAAGCCTTAAACAGCCACACCTAACAATATAAGACAAGATGTATAAATATAGAGATACAGAACATGCAATGACATAATTTGAGACCAGTAAGCTTGAATAACGAAAAAAATTATGCAAACAACAACAACTATGCTTGTGGTTGTCAATAGAAAGATAAAATATCTATAACAAATATTTTAACTTATAAAATAAGACTGTAGATTAGTTACAAGTTAAATATGTAGCCACAAACAGTTTTATGGCAGTAGGCAATGCCCAGCGGCAAATTGAATATCCACGAAAATACTGACAGAGTTAGAGATAACATTTAACAGTCATCATAAAACTATTATTTTTATGATAAAATAGAATTGGGGAAAGTCGTAAAGAAATAAAAGTGATAAAACTCAACAGTTCTTGGAAGTACTTGAATACAACAATTATTGTGATAAAATGTTAATGGATTTGGGACTGCTAATGGGGTTTTTATTGCATCATCACCCTAGTAATAAATTATGAAGATCGTAAACAAACATCTGATAAGACTTTTATGTGCTCTGGACGATTGTAAACTGAAAGTAATTTATTATTATAATAGGCTGTACCGAACCGAATTTGTGTAAAATGCTGTACCCGATGACCGTAATTATAAGCTTGTACCATACCGACCTTTTCGTTGCACCGCAGACCCCTAATAAATTGCCAATATATCAGCATGTTTTGTTGAAATATGACTACAAAATGGCTCTACCACCCCATCTTGTTTTAGCGAATTTCCCATATAGGGAATAAGCTATTACCGTAGGTCTCATGGTAAGACCTAGACCCGGGACCGATTTACTTTTTCGTTTTGAGGTCCCCAGAGGCCAAAAACACCATCCGTTCAAATTCATATATATATATATTTATATATGTGTCCGTTAGCGCGATAACTCAAGCAAAAATGATCCGATTTTGATGAAATTTGGTACAAACGTGTAAACCTACGTTTATTCGAACGAGTTCGCGAACCAGCATAATCGGACCATGGGAACAGGGGTTTATGGGGGGTTTTATGCCCTAAAAATAAGAATTTTTGCAATTTCTTTCTCAACCATTTTGTAGAGCTTGAAAAAAGAAATAATTTGGTATATTGAAGCGCTGTTTTATGCCAAACGGTCACGGAGAAAATAAAAAAAAGTGTAATTTAAAATTCCCATGTTATTCTTATGGAGAAAATGAAAACTGTTGTAGTTTACTTGTTTAGCCTATGGATATATGTTGATAAAATTTGGCAAATTTATTTATTTCATTCTATACTATTGACAAAAACACTTTTAACCTTCCCCGTAGCAGCAAACCTAAGCACTGGTTAAATCTAATGTTATTTAAATTGGGAATAAATATGTCTTATTTATGGAAATATTTTAGTAAAAATGTAATCAGACAAGTTTAAATTTGCTTAGTCTGCAGGTTTGCTGCGGCGGGGGTATTTTAATATAGTACCGTCATCATGTACTACGCGGTATCATCTTGCGTACTAGTGTTTGGAGAATTTGTACAGCTTTAAAGTCAGCATACTGCCTATAGCTTCTGACAGTAATTGCTTAACTTGTCACTGTCTAGAGCTAAACTGTGTGGACCGATCAATGGCAATGAGTTCGAGCGGCTTAGATAATTACCTTGAACAACAGCAGATGCAACAACGAACTTCGGCCATCAAACTGAGGAGTCAAGCTGCGGGTGAGTGTACAACACATACAATAAATAGAGTTCTCTTTTGAAGAAAGACATTTTAAAATTGTTTAACCTATAGAATTAAAGTATTTGATTTAAAACTGTGACTATGAACAGAACTATACACACCATTCCCATGTTAAGATTGTAGCTAGTTTTAGAATTAAAATTAACGTGGTTGAATTATGCCATAAACAGAGTGCACTGATTCCTGTCATATTTTCAATTTTTAACTATGTCAAACTGAAAGGACAACTTGTAAAGTATAAATTAAGGAAGAAGGAATGGCTACGTTACTAACTAAATATTAGAGTTGTAGGTAGTTAAAAGACCGCAAATAATGTTCACAACACAATAAATTTGATATTGCACTCCTGCAAGGGGCTTCTTCAGAGGAAAAAGTTGAATGGCAGTTACAAAACTAGCACTATTTTAACTAACCAAATCAGCTAGTTTATAGCTGCAATTGTAAGTGGCTCATTCAACTACGTTCCTTATTAAATGAAATTTGCTACAGCTGGTCCATACAGATGAGATGTCTACTTCAGTAACCAAATTTAATAAGGCATCTTAAATGCAATGACTCCTTAATGACCCAAGACACAAGTTAAAAAACACAAACCGGAATTGAAAACTGCTCTCACTATTTAAAAACTGTGACAAATTTAGTTTTTTTTTGTAAAATTTACAAGCAGGTTTTTTGCTTGTAATCTAAGCAGGGGATCCTGCTTATGATATTATTTTTAATAATGTTCGTTCATGCACAGTCGGCAAGAATTTTACTGTTAAAAAAACATATTGCAGTATTTAAGCGTTCACTGTCTATTAATTACTGATCATTATTTCATCAATATATGACCAAAATTCATTAAGTAGGATTTACATTTACAGTCTTTTTCAAACACAAACGAACCATACTATGAATTAAAATGATCAATCTTGTCATACTGTAGTATTGGAATGGTTTGAGTGAGGTACCGAATCGTTCAACTATCACTAATCAGCTTACGTTGCCAGGCCCGGTTCCTATTTTTGGAGCGTGCCTACTGACAGTGCAGAAACAAGAGGCAATAAGTCATAATATATAATTCGATTTATTTTTTATAATTGACAAAAACAAATGTTACTAAGTTTTTTGCTTTTAAATGTTGTCAAATTTTGAACGAATCAGTTAACAGTCAGCAGTTCAATCAGTTTTGCCTTTACAAGCAACAACTACCGGTACTGTGTAGCTTTGAAACATTTTAATAATTGACAAATACAAATATCATTATATTCGTTGCGATGAGATTCTGTGAATTTATACCATATATTTTGTGTAAGTGACTTGCTTTAATAATGAATGGCTTTTCTTGAAAAGAAACTCTATTTATCCTTCTGTATTAAAGTAAATTTACCACACTTAAATCATATATAGACACATTGAGCTCTACCTGTTAATCTCAACAATGTTAATAATTTATCATGAAATAAAAAAGACTGTTTATTATTGAAGGTTGTTAATAAGCACTTCCTTTTGTTATTATTTTATTAAGTTTTTCTCAAACTGGGGAAATCAAGTAGTTAAAATATATTTGAAAAATAATAAGAAATAATCACAACAAGATAAATCTACCTAAATGTTGTTACATTATCTAAATTTTTATTAATTTCAACTTTATTGAGTCCACTTGTGATTTCCTTTTTTAATGAGTATATAGTGCTCAGCTAAATTATGATAACTGTCCAAGAAAAATTTAATCATGCTTAAAAAATCATCCATGGGATCCTTAGCAATCTCTGTTGTTTTACAATTGTTTTCTCTTAGGATTTTTTGAGATGTTGCTGAGCATCCATGGCAATGATCTTGCTTGAGTTCCACTTTTATTTAAGCTTTCGCATTTTCTTTCAGTTAGTGAAAAACATATTTCCAGCTTTTAATGTTCTGCTATTAAAGCTGCCATTTTTTCAGCATAGTATTTCATTTCAAGTATCTCAGTTTTATAAAATAATACATATTTTTTAAAATAAAAATAGTATTTAATATCCTTTATTGTATGTAACTGTTAATTTTCACAAATTTCTTACCTCAAATGTAACACTTAATTTTTTTTCTTTTTTACTTATTATTTTGCTACAATTTAAACTTGTCTGGGATTCACATCATAGCAGGCTTATTGTGATAACCAACCTAATCTTTTACTGTAGGGTAACCGTCAGTGAATTTCAAAGAGTAGTTAAACTGTTCTGTGTTTCTTGTATATTTTTTTTGTTATTTTCACATTAGGTGTCTTTTTTGTTTTGTTTTCCCAAGTGAGGAAGAAAACGTTGTTGAAACAAGCTTTGAGAGAAGGTAGGTATCTTATATAGATAATGTATGCATGTTAGGCCCATATCAGGATTGTTAACAACCATCCACCACCTTTAGTGAATATCAAGTAGTTATCTGTAGCTTACCTAGATCTCTTGACAGGGCCTTCCTTTGTACTGGGTTCTGTGTGTGTTTGTCTGTGTAGGACTGTGCCTAAAGTGCAAAATTTTAGAGTAACATTTTGAGGTGTCTAAAAATCTGCAGCCAAAATTATGATAATGAAGCACTCAAGGAACTATCAAAAATTTCCTAATAAAAATTTTATATTCCAAAAAATGGGAAATGCATTAGTATTTGACACTAAGCAAAAATATCCAGCCATCATTACAATTAATATGATTCTTAATATATCGAATATTCCACACAAATTCACATGTACATCTCTCAACCTTTATTTACAAACACACACGCCGAGTTCAATGACACCGAGGTATTTGATGGTTTGCGTGGTTCGGACAACTACATTCCCCACTCATAGTGGAACCATGGTGTCAATCTGTTTCTTGGTTAGGATAACGGCCTTTGACTTGCTCAAAACAAGCGATAAACCATGATCCAGGCATTTACTACGTGCATGATCTGGTTCAGCTTCAGTTTCAGTTCAGGCCAGCTCAACGTTGCGTGTAGCAATTAATGCCTTGACATCATCGGCATACCTAACTAAAACGGTCTCCTCTGGCATCTCAGATCTCAAAAGGCTGTCATAGGCAGTGTTCCACAGATCTTGACCTTGCGTGGTATCGGAAGTGACATCCATTTTCTTTGATTAATCTTTGGATTCGTACATAAAGATTCTGTAGCCCAGATAGTCCTTGTTAGGTCTCAACGGATAAGCTGGAACGTGGAAGCTGTTCCTCAACACGTTAAACATATCGACCCATCTCACCGAGTTTAAGGCATTCTTGACATCTAGCGTAACAAGAAGAACAACGATGAGAGAAATGGTTGAAGCTCGCGGCACGCCCAACTACTCTTCGTACTTCAGATATCATGTAGATTGTTGACCGTACCTTTCTGAAGTCGTACTGATACAGGAGACAAGTCACCAGCAGATATCAGGGTCAGCTGGGATTGGATGGACTTTTCAAAAGGTTTTCTAGCCGTGTCCAACATATAGGGAAGTCTGTAGGACGACAGCTTATCCTGGTCACCTAACAGCTTCTTTAAAACCTAAAACTAACCTACAACCAATTCGTAATGTGCTTTAGGTGTTTATTACACTGTTTTTATCATTATGAGTATGGATGTTTTAGAGCTGATAACAAACAAATGTATAAGTTTAATATAAGTTATCTGTTTGACAAATATTTGAAAAATATTCCTTACTAAGCAATCAATAGTAGTTCAAAGTAGGTGATTGATAAATCATCAATATATCAGTATTTTGACAAATCGATAGTACAAATACACTGGCACAATTGTAATAGACAAAATGATTGAATACTTAACTAAACAGCTGATTGTTGACAACAACAAAAAACATTATAGAAGTTCTTTTTCAAGCTTATTTTTTTAAGTAATGGTGTTATATGACAAAAAATATAGGAATGATCTCCATATGACCAGATACGAGTACTTCACCACTGATAAAGATACTCACCAAAAATGCTTGATTCATTTTAAAGGTGGTTGAAAGTGTGGCAATCCTGTCCCTCGAGTATTCCCAAAAAGTAGATATATTTGCCTCCACATGAGGTTGTAGTTTATAGTTTACAGTTTAATGTAGTGGAAAACAATGCAGCTAAGTAGAACTTTTAGAAAATGTTACTTGCAAACCAAAGTACCAGAGTAGACCTCCATTAATGTGTCCATATATGATTCCATGTTTCACTTAGAGATTATAATAGAATACATTAGTCATAAGATTAGATAGATTCCTTATGAAATGAAAACCTGGCTTGAATATCATACATATACAGTGGTGCATTTTAAAATCTTTCAGTCACTTTTGTACCAGTGCATTGTGTGTTTATTTGTCTTTGTGAATAGTGAATAACTTGTACCATTAAGATTCGAGATATAATACGAATAATATTAGTTTCTATATTTCTAATAACAACATCTATTGGTGACACAATCATCTGCTCATTTTCATCAACATCTTATTCTATTGCAGTTTTATGAATTAACTATGCTTCAAAAAAATTCCTCTACCTAGCTAAATTAACTTGCCATATACTTTTTGTTACCAAAGTCTTACAATGAATGAGTCAGAATAATGTATACATATTGTTTATGGGATCTGTTAACGTATACATCTAAGGTAGTCCCCAATATTCACAGTGTCGGTTCACACATTACCACCTAGACTTCAATCATTCCCACTTGCATGATGGAATTTCAGATTAAACTAAAAATCAAAATAAATTTATTTATTAAAAATTTTTACAAAGGAAAACATAAACATATACTTTTGTCCATTGCGCAAAAAAAAAACATGTCAACAGCTATTGACAAAGAATTTAAGATCAGATTCCAGATCCCGAAACGTTGTGTATTGTTTTTGTTTTTTACAATCGTGATGGAAAATGTCTGCAATAAGCCTTTGAACAACAAAAGAATTTAAGGTTTCACAACAAAGTTCAATATAAAACATTTGGTAAATAAGCCTACATGGGCTGGAAGCGTGTGCATAGACTCAGTCCCTATCAGTAGG